GTATACATAATAAATAAATAAATAAATAAATAAATAAATAAATAAATAAACAAACAAACAAACATGAAGAGACACATCCCAGGATCTACAGGGAACACCCTAATGAGAAACACTCTGAACCCGGATCTGCTTCCAGTGGAGTTCAGAGCAGTTTCAAAGCTGTCGGGTGAAAGACTTCTGGAGCTAAAACCAGGTGTCACCAAAGGCATCAGTTCCAAGAAATAACTGTATTACGATTATTGTTATTATACTATTCCATATCATTGTAGTGCCCTTTCTTCCAACATCATCAAACATCCTCTAGGTAACACGGGTACAACGAAGCAACATCAGTTGCCCAGGTTGTGGAAAGCAGAGGCATGGCAGCATCATTACCTATGGACCGAGGCTGGCCCTGTGCTTTCAGAGACTTCACTTCAGATCTCAAGAGCTGACTATAAGATCCCATACCAATTCTCCAAAGAAGCAAGATGATGTTGTTCAAGGAAAGTGATAGCACAGATTCTAGACAGATACACTGTCCAGATCAACAGACCACATGAGTAAGGATGCTCATGCCCCACTCGCTGTTCTATGCTTCATTCTGTGGGTTAATGAGAAGGAGGGACTAGTCCCTGGGGGGAGTAGTCTGGATGGCTTTCTATTTTGATTGATAGATTAGGTCCTATATTCATTTATTTCCTGCTACACATGGTCCTTCCTATAATGCATCTAGTTTTAATCATATCCTCACCTAATTATACATAGACATAAGATAGTAAATAGACTATCCTTAAACGTTACTAGAGAACAGAATTTTGCCTTACTGCAATGCACCCCTATCTAGTTGAGGCCACATTGGCCTATCTATTCATCATGCCTGAATATACTGGGAATATGCTTGACAAGATACTATCAGAACTGGATCGTCACCAGCACAGGACAGTTTGTACTTTCGTTCAGAGATGTGAGTACACGTAGCCTGATGTAGGTGAAAGTTCCAGGGGGGCTCTGAGCTTGCATTGTTTGGAGAGGGGTGTATGTGCACAGGCAGAAGACCTAGAGCATTATTACAAGAGGAGGATGGGGTGTTGCTAACCCCAAACCAAATACTGTCCTACACTTGCCTGCCTCAATGGGAAACAGGTGGAACCCCAGACTGCTGATCTGCAAACATACGTGGTAAATTGTATAGTACACGTGTAAACATATATGGAAGCTGTCTGTTGCTAGGGGACACTAAGCAACTCTACGTTTAACAACTTGTTTCAAAGCCAAAAGCTCAACTTTTAAAACTCTCGCCACAAACTTAGTTAGCACTGGGAGTTTGTATGCAACTTGGGTGGCGCTAACGTCAATACTGATCACCCACGACTGCCAGACAACCCAGAAAACCTAGTTTTGAGTGTTTAAAAACAGTCTCAACCTTAACAGTAGCTTTCTGGAACACTTCTAGTTACCATCGACCATGAGCTCCCTTGCAAAACTGAAGATACTTGGACTCACAGGGAATGACTTTTCATCCTTCCCAGAGGAAATCTTTCCCTTAGTGTCTCTGGAGAAATTATACATCGGACAAGACCAGGGATCCAAGTTTACCTACCTGCCGGAAAACATCAAGAAATTGCAGGTAAGCCCTCTCAATGAACAGACAAGAAGTGCATGCCACCCTCCCCCACAGCCTATGCCAAGAGAACTCGAGGCAATGTTTCCAGCACTGCAGAAAACATGCATCTGCTTTAGATTTCCTGTCCCAAACCATGGGTTTCACATTTTGAGGCTCTCACTGTTACCGAATAAGCCCTATAACACTCTACTGTGATAGTTGTTATTCAGTATGTCTTGTAAAAATTCTTTTTCTCTCCTGTCAACCAGCTCCCAAATAATAACATGGAGACTTACAAACCATGACAGCTCAGCCTATAGCTTAGGCTTATTTCTAACTAATTCTTAGGACTTAAAACTAACCTGTTTATATTAGTCTACATTCTGCCACATAGCTCGTGACTGTTGCCTCTTGTCCTGCACTTCCTGTATGCTCTGTCTCCTGGTATCACTGCTTTTCTGTTTCCCAGGGTCCCCTCTGTCCCCGGAGGTCCCACCTAAACTCTTCCTATCTAACTATTGGCCATTCATATTCTCATTAAGACAATCAGAGACACCTTGGCAAAGACACATCTTCACAGTGTAAACAAATATTCTGTGACAATGTCTTTTCAAAACATATCTTTTATTTATTCTCTGACAATTTTTTTTTTTTTTGTTTTTCGAGACAGGGTTTCTCTGTGGTTTTGGAGACTTCTCTGACAATTTTATACACATATGCAATGCATCTTGATCATAGCCACCTCAGCTTCCCTGCTTATTTCCACAAGATTCTTCCCCAGAACATCTGCCTCTGTCTTAGGTGACTATGGTTGTGATTACAAACCATGACCAAAAGCAGCTTGGGGAGGAAAGGGTTTATTTCTCTTATAGTTCCATATAACAGTTCATCCTCAAAAGCCGTGAGGGCAGGAACCTGGAGGTAGGAGCTGATGTAGAGGCCATGTAGGGGTGCTGCTTACTGGCTTGCTCCTCATGGCTTGCTCAGCCTGCTTTCTTATAGAACCCAGGACCACCAGCCCAGGAATGGCACCACCCACAATGGGCTAGGCCTTCTACCACCAATCACTAATTAAGAAAATGCCTCACAGCTGGATCTCATTTTCTTAATTGTGGTTCCCTCCTTTCAGATAACTCCAGCTTGTATCAAGTTGACAGAAGACTAGCCAGCACACCCTCCAACCTTTATGCCCATTCTTTTTCTTTAAAAATCTGACGGTATCCATTACTGCTGCCTACCGGAATGTTGATTGACCTTTGTGTGGATTGAATTTGTGCAGGCAACCACAGCTTCTCCTAGTTTGTAAGTCATGTCGTGTCCAGCAATCAACATTCCACAGCGTCCCACCCCATCTTCTGCTTTTCTTTCCACATGCTCTTCTATTGTATTCCCTGAGTTTGATGGGATCACGATTGATGTCATACACGGACTACTTAATTTTACCATTTATGAGTCTCCATGTTAACTGTTGCCTAATATAGGAAGAAGCTTCTCTGGCCAAGGTTGAGGGCAGAACTAATCTGTGGGTATAAATCTAAGTATGATAAAGGCAGTTGACAACTTGAGCATTCAGGAAAAGCACAGTAATAATTTCTTCACTGGTGCCATGACCTCCCCAGCCATGGGCTTTTGACCAGGTTTGTGGTACCAGGTACACACTCCCTCCTGTGTAGGCCTCAAATCCTAGCAGAATGGTTGGTTACCCCGTAACTCCCATGCCGCTACTGCCCCAGTGGCTCTTCAGTATGTCTCTCTACTGTTGTATTTTGGTATGTTCTATTTGTAGAAATGGACTTATATCACTTTCTATTTAATTTATATTTTTCATAGGTATCCCCTTGAAAATGGCATTGCTCAGAAGTTAAAGTATCCTATGAGTAACATGATTGGGAGCCTAAATTTTGGTACCCGGGATTCCCTGCAAGAAGCGATGTGACCTGACCTTCTTGTTTAGTGATAGGTGATCTGATGACGGTTCATAGTTCTCTGCTGAATCCTAGCAAGATAACTCCATTTACAGTAGTGTCTTTATAAAGTATGGCTGTATGTAGTTTGTCTTTATGTCTTTATGTAGTTTGGCTAATTTAACCTCTAAGATTTGGGGCCACTTAGCTGAAAAATTATAGCCATTTCCAAAGCTATTGGAACGGAGTAAATGGTACATGCTGTAATGATCCAAGTTACTTTTCCCTGAGGTTCTGATAAAATTTAGTCACAGTATTCTCATTTCCTCTGTAAGTCCAATGGCTTTGTTCAAAAGCAATTGTTTTCCTTGATATTAACTCTGCAAATATTTATTAGTTATTCTTCTTGCCATGGGAACCAGTCCACCTCACTAAACCATCCAAGGAAGGATGGTTGATTTGGCCACACATGGGAGGGCTTTCAGTCCATCACACTGGGGAAGACATCATGTCAGGACTGGCTTTGGGTATGGCAGCAAGAATATGTGGCAGAGGTTCCTTAACCTCGGCAGTCCAGGAAACAGTGAGGTAGGCCAAAGCTAGGCCAAGTATGACCTCCCATGGTCTGGATTCTGCCAGTCAGGCCCACTTACAGGCTCCACCAGCTTCAGGAAGCACCCCAGATTGGGGAGGAAGCATGAAACATGAGCCTTGAGGGACAGTTCAGATTCAAACTAAACAAACATGCGTCTCCCATTGTTCCAAGGCATAACTTCCCTCCTGCACACGAATGGGCACTCACAGGGAAGTCTGGTTATTGTAATGCACTTGTTAAGATGACTGTCCTCACCACACGCTCTCATGTTATGACAGAAGCTTAAAGAGCTATATATAGAAAACAATCAACTGGAGCAGCTGCCTGCATCCTTGGGGTTAATGCCAAACCTGGAAGTTCTTGATTGTCGGCATAATCTTCTCAAGCAACTCCCAGACGCCATTTGCCATGCGCAAGGTGAGGAACTTCCCAGGTCCACAGCCCAGTAGGAGGAGTCCCGCACTGTTCATGAATGACTTCCTTGCCTTAAGAAAGACCAATTTCAGAGTTTGTAGGGCTCAGTCCTGTACCATTAGCCACGGACAGGCTCTCTAGCCACCCGAGGGAAGCCAGGCGCCTCTGTATTTGTATAGCTAAGCTCTTGCAAAGGTATTTATAAACTATTATAATAATTATACATTTGAATGACAAAGCGAAGCAAATAGTGGTTGCTATGAAAGTTAGCATACGTCTATACTTACTTCATTACACCAGTGCCAGCAGTAATCGACTGGACACATGCAATATGGCAGCATTTAGAGTTCGTGTAATTATTTAATTATGTAATTTTGTTTATGTAATTAGGCAAGTTTATGTAATTATGATGTTAATGTTTATCTAGATCACTAAGTCATTTGAAAAACCCAGAATGATGAAATCAGGGGATATTTGTAATTTTTAGATTGACTTGGAAAGACCAATTACACTTGGTTCCTAAACACCCAAGTATTGCTTGGCTGAGTCACTCCTTATCCATGTATCATCCACCCGCCCTCCCATCCTGCAAGTCTTGGCTGAGCACAGGCTGGCTTCTCTTTATGCGGTGGAAGAGCAGACATAGGCAGGCATTTGATTTGATGGGACTAGATGCCAGGGATTTGGTGTCTCCCTCCTCTCCAGCCACTTACCAGTGGATCTCACCTGGGTGACTTGAGGCATGGCGACCCTAAGCTACGTCGACCAATTACAATGAAAATCTTTGTAGGTTTGAGAGAGCTGCTGCTGGAGGACAACTTACTCACCCGCCTTCCGGAGGACCTGGACCACCTGGTGAACCTCAAGGTCCTAACGCTGATGAACAACCCCATGGAAGACCCCCCAATGGCAGTGTGTGCCCAAGGCAATGATGCCATATGGAACTGCCTGAAGGAAAACAGACTTAGGAAAATAATGGCCACGAAGGTACGCTCAACACAGGTTCTTTTTTTTTTATTTAAAAATTTTTATTCTTGGACAACTTTATGCATGTATATAATGCATCTTGATGATGCCCCTTATTCCCCTCACCCCTGCCCTCAGACCTCTCCCAACCTGTCCCCCTCCCACCTTCACGTCCCTCCTCTCCATGCCTGTCTCCTTTAATAACTTAGCAAGGTCAGTTAGTGCTACCTGCAGGCCCTGGACGTGGGGCAGACCCTGGAGCACGGGAAATCTACCAGCACTCACACCCTGAAGAAAATTGACTCTTCCAGAAGCCACCAACTGCCAATGACCCCTCAGCTACGGAGGGGCTGTCCATGCTGGATTTTTGGTGGTTTGATCTTGTGCAGGTCTTGGACAGGCAGTCACAGCTGCTCTGCCGTGAGCTCAGGAGTGTGAAGGCCATGTCGTGTTTAGAAGCTGACCCACCCTCCTTGGGTTCTTACGTTCTAGCCACCCCTCTCTTCTGTGATGTTTTCTGAGCTCAGGGACCAGGGACTGACGGCTCAACAGTTACTTGTTCTCAACTCTTTGACCAATTCTCATTCTCTGTATTGACTGCTACCCACTGCTGTAAGAAGAAGGCTGGGTGCAGCACTAACCCACAGATAATAGTGTCCCCTTCCACTGTGTGTGTCTGGGCATTGAATTTGGCTTGTCAGAGTTGGTGGCAAGTGTCTTTACCCACTGAGCCTTCTCAATAGAACTCTTAAATAATTTTATTGGAGTGAAAAAAAAAAACTTGCATGAACAAAATCAGTGGGATAAGATTAAGACACCAGAAACAGAAGCATTCATGGATCCGAAGGCTAGAGACCAGGATCTTGCCATGAACTAGGGTCAAAGGGGGAAGAGCCTTAGATCTTGCTCTCATCCAGTGACTCCATGAGACATTGGGGACCTCAGACAGGCAGGAACATGTTCTTTTCAGTCAGCATCTTCTGTACTTCAATCGGTCCAAGCCAACATCATTTCATACCCAAACAATATGATTGCTCCCCAGCTGGCACCCTGCTTCCACACTTGCTTCCCCACAGCATCCCTTCTCCTCAGTAATCCCACAGAAGTGGGTCTCACTAGTCTCTGGTGAAATCGACACGTCTTTGCCCTTCTGGAATAATAGTCAACTTCCTGATTCGATCCTATTCCCTATCACAAATCAGCTGTACACTTAAACTAAATATCACAAATCTTCAAACAGCTGTCCACTTATACTACATAGTAATACTTCCTTTTCTTTGTCAAAATTAAACTAAAGCAGCCGGGCGATGGTGGCGCATGCCTTTAATCCCAGCACTCGGGAGGCAGAGGGAGGCGGATCTCTGTGAGTTCGAGACCGGGATCTCTGTGAGTTCGAGACCAGCCTGGTCTACAGAGCTAGTTCCAGGACAGGCTCCAAAGCCACAGAGAAACCCTGTCTCGAAAAACCAAAATAAATAAATAAATAAAAATTAAACTAAAGCAATCATCATTAAATTTTAATACATCAAAACAATACCTAAGCTGCAATATGAAGGGAAGTAAAATTAGATACTTGTTTTGTACAAATATTTTTTTTTCAAGGCACACCTACTTAAAATGACTGTTCTAAAAGAATGAAAATGGTATTTTATTGGTTATTTCCTAAAAGCATTTTGAAAGGTCATGTGCTCTTCTTGCATATTTTATTTTATTTTTTTTTGGTTTCTCTTTTTTTATAATATTAGGCTTTAATAATGAAAA